AGTGTGCGCGCTCAGCAGACGGCAGGTGACTACGGACAGCAAGACGGGCAGCAGCATCACGCGTGGTCCACTGTGAGCGAACAGTACTGGCAGCATCAGCAGCAGGTGCAACAGAGGCAGCATCAAACAGTGAGACACCATCCTTGCTATCGCACTGCAGGAACAGCTGCAAATCATCGACCCAGACCTCAAAATCGACCGCTCGACCCTCAGCATCGAAGGTGAGTACATTAGGGTTTGCCATAGCAGCAGGAGCAGCAGCAGTGGCCTAGCGGTAGCAGCAGCAGTAGCAGCGCGACTCGGCAGGGCGGCGCGGTTCAGTAGGGCGGCTCGGCTAGGCAGGGCGGCGTGGGCGCAGCAGCGCGCGGGTGCGGCGGTGCACTTACCAGTGGCGGAAGTGGTGGGCCGCTACTGGTGGGGCTGGGCCGGGGTGCGTCGGCAGGGCAGGGGGCCGCCACAAGGAGGGGCCGCGACGAGGCGGCAGGGCAGGGCCGGGACAGGCGCGTCGGCAGGGCGGCTGCAGGCTCGGCAGCGGCAGCAGGGCCGCTACGGTGGCAGCTGCTGCTGCAGCAGGGACGGCGACGACAGCTGCTGCAGGGACGGCAGCTGCTGTAGGGACAGCGACGACGGGGTGGCAGAGCCGCTACGGCGGCAGCAGGGGCGACGGCAGCTGCCGCAGGGGCGGCGAAGACGGGGCGGCAGGGCGGCTGCGACGAGCAGGGGGGGGGCGGCGAAGAGCCGCGAAGGGCCGCGAAGGGGGGCCGCGAAGGGCCGCGAAGGGGCCGCGAAGGGCCGCGAAGGGGCCTCGAAGAGCCGCGAAGGGGGCCGCGAAGGGCCGTGAGGGGGCCGCGAAGGGCCGCGAAGGGGCCGCGAAGGGCCGTGAGGGGGGCCGCGAAGGGCCGCGAAGGGGCCGCGAAGGGGCCGCGAAGGGGCCGCGAAGGGCCGCAAGAGGGGCCGCGAAGGGCCACGAAGGGGCCGCGAAGGGGCCGTTAGGGGCGTGACGGGCCATGAAGCGGAGGGCCGCTAAGGGCGGGCCGCTAAGGGCAGAGCGCGCAACGGGAGGGCAGGCGCACGGGGCGCAGCTAAGGCAAGCGCGAAGCGCGCTTCGGGCAGGTAAGGAAAAATTTCGTAGTGGTGGGCCAAAAAAAAAAAAAAAAACCGGTCCCACTAGGGAACCCGCTCTATACCATATCAGAATAATACGAGGAGTGGAATGACTAGAAATGAGATGGGTACAAATAGGGAAACCTAGAAATGTTGTACCCCCTATTGTCTAACCCACTACAGCCTAAACAAGCTATAACATAAGTTTGACATATCACATTTGACGGGCTTAACAATTATTCGCCCGTTATCAGCACGGTGTTTGCCACATCGCTTGTCAAAAGACCTCCAATGGGGATGCCATATTAATCATAAAGAAGGGTTGCATTTGCAAACCTTGAAGATTGTGGGCGCGTTCATCTGCTACATAACAAGCTGTTTTATCAAGTGGTCTGATTGTTGGGATTATGGGATTGCATGCTACATTTGCCAACCTTAGGAATAGCCCAAACCTTGCTGCTAGCGCTGCATAGGCTAGTTCGTAACGTCGCATTGCCTTTTGAATCTTTCGTTATTTAGTGTTAGCTCATGCCTTCACTTACATATATATTCTCTGACCCCTTGATGCAAACCGAAACTTACTTGTCTGATTAGACTCATTACACACGTACAACCCAAACTAAAGAAAGAAATAAAAAGGTGCAGTCTCGGCAGATATTATCGTTTCCGAAGCTGCTTCGCATCATCTTCGTACATTCCCCGTCCAAAAATGTTCCGAACTACATTATTCCCAAGGTTCCCGCCTAGGTTGTTTTTTTGCTATGTCGTCTCTCGTCCATTGTTGTTTAGTGTTACAGGTGCAATGAATCGAGGTAGCGAGGATTGCACTAAGGTGTCAAACGAGCACCAAATGTGAGCGAAGGCATGAGCGAACATTTATACGCGAAACATGCAAACGGTAACACGGTGCGTGCGAGCTAGCTAGTGCTACGCTGACAGCAAGGTTTGGGCTAGTCCCGAAGCGTAGGCCGACACGGCCGGGCCAGAAGTGCGAGGTTTGGTGAAACAGTGCGCGCGAAGTCGGTGAAGCCCCGTTAGCAGCAACGGGCGAACAACGGCTGCTGCTGTACGCGATGTTGCAGGGCGCGCTAAGGAATGTCGAGAAAATTCCTTACACTACCCCCCCCCTCAAGAAGCCCCCTCCGCTACGCGAGTGCGTGTATATCGCGGAAACCCCGGCTCCTCAGGTACACTTGCAGGGCAGGGTGGTTTTCGATGTTGGCCAGGGGCACCCAGCTATCCTCAGTTGGCGTGCGGTCCTTCCAGCGAACGAGGAATTCAATCCTCCTGATTCCCGTGGGGTGTCGAATCCGATGGCTCATGACTTTTTCGGGCTCGATGATCGGCTCCGATGCCGGGCGAGTCATGGATGGCGGGCGGTGACGAGGCAGTTGGCTTGTGGTTGGGATGTATGGGCGAAGCAGGCTGACGTGGAAGGAAGGGCTTATGTACCAGTCTGTCAGCAATAGTAAATGTGCTGTCACTGGGGTAATCATGTGGTTGATTTGGAATGGTCCACAGTAACGCGGTCGCAATTTCGGTACAACGGGCAATCTTAAGTTCTGTGTGTCGAGCAGTACGTAGTCTCCTGACTGGTACGTGACTGGGCGGCGGTGGCGGTCAGCGTTGCGTTTAGCGATGACATTTGCCTTTTTAATTGCTTCAGCGGCTCTGGTGCGGGCAGCTTGCAGAATCTCGACGAATTGTTGTGCGCGTGGCGTTGGGTTGTCCGGACTCGGCGTCATGGGCACTGTAGGGTTTTGCCCGTAGTTCAGGTAGAACGGGGACTGCTGCATCGTCGCTGACGTGGCGTTACTGTACGCGAACTCAATCAGCGGTAGCTGCTGCTCCCAAGTTGTCGGGTCGTCGCACGTGGCACGGATCAACTGCTCCATCGTCTGATTCGTCCGCTCCGTTTGACCGTCGGTCTCGGGGTGGTACGACGAGCTGAACTGTAGCCTGGTACCGAACTGCTCCCAAAGGTTTTTCCAGAAGTTGCTGGTGAACTTCGTGTCGCGGTCGCTGATTATCGCGGGTGGTATCCCGTGTAGTCGAACGACGGCTGCGATGAACAGGCGAGCGGTTTCTTCGGCTGAGATCGATTTCTTGCACGCAGCGAAGTGTGCCATCTTCGTCAACCTGTCAACGACGACCATAACTGCGTCGTTACCCCCAGGGTTCGAAGGTAACCCTGTGACAAAAGCCATGGTAACCTGCTGCCAGGCGCGCTCAGGCGGTGGAATCGACTGCAACTGACCCACCTTTCTTTTTCGCGAGCTCTTCATCACCTGACACGTAGGACACGAGCCCACGTGGTGCTGTACGTCGGTCAACAGCTCCGGCCAGTAGTAATACCGCTGCAGTTGCTGTCGCATTTTTTCTACCCCAAAATGTCCCGAGGTAATCCCGTCGTGTGCCTCCTGCAGTAACAGTTCCCTCAGTAGTGAGTACGCGGGTACCCATATGCGGTTGGTGCCTGTCTTTATGTAATAGACTCCTTTTGCTTCTGCCAGTTGCTGTGAATTTCCGGTCGTGAAAAATGGGTCGGTACTGTATCCGTGGGTGAATAGGCCAGTTAGCAGTGGGTTGGTTTGGGCGAGTAGGATGGCGTGGAGTTGGGCGGTGGGGCGTGTGAGTGCGTCGGCGATGTTGGATGCGCCTTTTTTGTACGTGACCGTGTAGTGGAAGTTGGACTCCAGATAGTCCAACCAGCGGATCTGTCGCGGGTTGAGATTTGGTTGGGCACGAAGGTGCTGTAGTGATCGGTGGTCTGTCCGTATTGTCACGTCTGCTCCCGTGAGGTAACATCGCCACACCTTGAACGCGTGCACGATCGCCAGCATCTCGCGGTCGTGTATCGGGTAGTTGCGTTCGGGCGGGTGAAGCTTGCGGGACTCGTACGCGATTGGCCGAAGGCCGTTCCCGAAGTCCTGCAACAGTGCTACTCCCACAGCGATGTCGCTAGCGTCGGTGACGAGCTCGAACGGACGGTGCGGATCTGCGATGTGAAGCACGGGCGGCGAGCACTAAATATTTTTGAGGGCCGAGAAGGCAGCTTGCTCTCTCTCCCCCCACGTGTACTCAACCCCCTTTCTCAGCAGATCGGTCAACGGGGCAGTCAACTTCGCCATGTCGGGGACGAACCGTCGCACGTAGTTGACGAACCCCAGAAAACTCTGCAACTCAGTCAAGTTTGTCGGCGCATGCCATGCTTGAATCGTTGCGATCTTCTTCGGGTCTATTTCCACTTCGTCTGCTGGAAAAATGTGTCCTAAAATCTCCAGTCGGTTCTGTGAAAACTCACACTTAGAAGCTTTGGTCAGTAGGCGGTTCTCACTCAGTATTTGAAAAACGGCTTCGATGTCCTGTAAATGCTGTTATCTGTCGGGGCTGTAAATCAGTATGTCGTCGAGGTAGACGATGACGCACTTATCTAAAAGTGGGCGGAAGGCTTCGTTCATGGTCATTTGGAAGGTGGCGGGGGCGTTGGTCAGTCCGAAGGGCATGACGGTATATTCAAAGGATCCGTAGCGTGTTCGGAATGTTAGAATGAACAAGTGTGTATGAACTAACAAGATTGGGAGTACAAGTAGGAAACCCTAGAATGTTGTACCCCCTAAGGCTAAACCCACTATAGCCTACACAATGTAAACATATAATGTTTGACACACCCCCATAGGCTAAGTGGGGGAGAGCAAGGGGTCACAAGACCAGTCAAAGCAAAGCAAAACAAGCTCAGGGTGGATCTCAAGGATGCCACACAAATTCCGAGCACGAGCAAGTGGTCACAAGACCAGTTCACATGCAGTTTGATAATATAACAAGAGGTACAGTGATCACAACCTAGCAAGTGTAAGCATGCAGGTATATATATAGAGATCACAGTACAAGCAGAGTCAAGAAGTGAGCAAGTGAGGGACAGTAGGCACAAGGCCTAGAACAGTACAGAAACGCTGATGATCACAAGGCTGAAGCGCCTTGGTGAACACATCAGCAGTGTTGGCTCGAGTGGCCACGTACGAAAGACGAAGCTGACCACGCTGCTGCAGCTCTCGAGCAAGGAAGTAGCGCAGAGCGATGTGCTTCGTTCTGTGCTCCAGTCTGTGCTCCTGACACAAGGCAATGGCTGCCTTGTTGTCGACGTACAGCACTAGAGGAGAACGAGGCCGCTCTCCAAGGTCGGTCAGCAAGTAGGTGAGCCAGCGTAGCTCCTGGGCAGCCATGGCTGTGGCGTAGATCTCAGCCTCACAACTGGAGCTGAGAACAGAGGAAGAGCGTGTAGAACGCCAGGAAACAGAACCAGAGCCAAGGCTGAAGGTGTAACCCTGAGACGACCGCTGTGTAGCCTGGTTGTCAGCCCAAGAAGCGTCTGAGTGTCCAGTGAGGACAACGTCGCGCCGTCCTCCAAGCACAAGCCCCATGCCCGACGTACTGCACAAGTAGCGCAACACCCTCTTAGCGGCATCCATGTGCTCCTTCCGGTGACGGCCAGGAGCGACATAGCGTGCTAGGATGCTAAGAGGGTATGCAAGGTCAGGTTGAGTGCAGGTCATCAGGTACATGAGGCAGCCCACAAGCTCTGGATACGGGCCACTCGGCTCTACGGACTCATCCGAAGGCAGAGCTGAGAGCGAGTGACCGGTAGGCAGAGGAGTGGGCTGAGGCGAGGAGTACGTGAAGCGGAAGCGCTGAAGGACCTGCTGCACCATGTGTGACTGAGTCAAGGTGATGGTGCGCTGTGCTCTGTCCCGGGTGATCCGCAAGCCAAGATAGCTTGTCAGCTCACCCAGGTCTGTGCACGTGTGTCTCTTCTGCAGTTCCGACTTCACGTGGGCGAGTGCCTCAGTGTCAGCAGTAGCAAAGACCAAGTCGTCGACGTACACGAGAACGTAGAACGGCGGCAGAGTGGTGTCGGTGCGTAGAAACAGCGACGGGTCAGCAGTAGAAGGAGCAAACCCAAGAGCCGCAAGCGTAGTCCTCAGTGTGTCGTGCCACTCACGGGGTGCCTGGCGGAGACCGTAGACTGGCCGCCGGAGGCTCCACTGGGTACCAGGAGGGAACGACCCAGTGAAGCCAGGTGGGCGGCGCAGCCAGATCTCCTCGTGTAGGCTGCCCTGTAGGAACGCAGTGCTGAAGTCAAGAGAGTGGAGCTCGTAGTCATGCTGAGCAGCGACGTGCAGCAGAACCCGAAGAGTGGTCATCTTCGGGGTCGGGGAGAAGGTCTGGAAGAAGTCAACTCCCTCTCGCTGACTGAAGCCTCGAGCAACGTAACGCGCCTTGAAGACAGGCGGAGAACCCGGCGGCCGCTTCACTCTGAAAATCCACATGCCACTGACGATGTTCGCCCCAGGTGGGGGAACCTCATCGACGTAGGTGCCTGTGGACTTCCAGGAAGCCATCTCTGCGTCCATGGCTGTCTGCCACTGAGAGGAGTAGAGACCCTCCATCGCCTCTGCGTAGGAGCGTGGGGTCGGGATGTCTGGTGCATCCGGGTCTCCCTCAGGGGCAACTAGCATGGACACGAGATGAGGCAAAGCAGCGGCAAAGCACTCAAACTCCTCCTGTCTGTCCTCAAGGACGTCCGTGCCAAGGGCACACTCACCCCCGACGGACGGAGGACAGACTGACTCAGACTCAGCAACAAGGCTAGCGGCGTAGTCTAGACGACAGGCGGCAGCAAAGTCAACAAGCTCAGCGACTAGAGCAGACGCAGCAGAGGACTCAAAGGAAGGGTCAGTGACAACAGTGGCAAGGAGACGCGTGACAGTAGGACTGGCAGCACGAAGAGAGTCAGACTCCGGGTCAGCAAGAGGAGGAAGAGAGGACGCAGGAGGAGACGGCAGAGGGACACGCTGTGGAGCAGTGGAAGGACGCAGAGTCATATAGTGAGTGCCAGGGACAGGAGGAGGTCGCTCACGCGGAGCACGACGACCAGAGCGGACAGCGCGGACAGGTGACTCTGGACGCGACTCAGACGGCGCTGGACGAGACTCAGGCGACGGAGGACGAGACTCAGGCTCACGACGCTCCGTAAGACTACCCGTCGGCGCAGTGTAAGGAGAAGGGGCAGGCAGCGGAGAGGCAGACTGTAACTGCGACTGGACAGACGGTGGACTCAGTAGGGGAGGAGAAGGACCAGTAGAGGGCGGGGGACCAAGAACCTGCTGAAGGAGCGGAACGTAGTACGGCCGCGGCCGCTCAGCACCTCCAGCGACAACCCCCTCAGCAGGCCCAGTCCCAGCAGCTCCAGTACCTCCAGTACGAGCACCCCCAGGACCAGCAGCTCCAGCAGCTCCAGCAGCACCAGCACCAGCAGCACCTCCAGCAGTGCCAGCAGCACCGCCAGTAGTAGCAGCACCTCCAGCAGCTCCAACAGCACCAGCAGCACCTCCAGTAGTAGCAGCACCTCCAGCAGCTCCAGCAGCACCAGCACCAGCAGCACCTCCAGCAGCTCCAGCAGCACCAGCAGCACCACCAGCACCAGCAGCACCTCCAGCAGCGCCAGCAGCACCAGCAGCACCTCCAGTAGTAGCAGCACCTCCAGCAGCTCCAGCACCAGTAGTACCTCCAGCAGCGCCAGCAGCACCGCCAGCAGCAGCACCTCCAGCAGCTCCAGCACCAGCAGCACCTCCAGTAGCGCCAGCAGCACCGCCAGCAGCAGCAGCACCTCCAGCACCAGGGTCCGCGACACTAGGAGCACCACTCCGGAGACTACAGCGCCGAGCGTACCACTCTCGGAGCCGCTGGGGAGAGGGCAGCTCCCGCCTAGGAGGGGAAGCACTAGCACCAGCTCCAGCAGCACTCCTAGCTCCAGAAGCACCTCTCCTGAGGCTGCAGTACTGTAAGTACCACTCACGCAGCTGCTGTGAGGAGAGAGCTCCTCCAGGTGTACCACTCCCAGGCTCAGCACCTCCAGACTCAGCACCCCCAGACTCAGCACCCGCAGGCTCTGCACCCCCAGGCGCAGCACCCCCAGACTCCGCAACCCCAGGCTCCGCACCCCCAGGCTCCGCACCCCCAGGCTCCGCACGCTCAGGCTCAGCACCCCTAGCAGGACGAGAGTCGACAGCTACCTCGACAGGCTCAACCGGGTCTACCTGGGACACACCTGAGGGAGCGGCACCCTGAGGGGGGAGGGGGTCTACCACAGCAGCACCTGGCGCGAGGAAGAGAGGCGGGGGGGGGAGCGGGGCAGTGCGGTAGGGGAAGAGGCGGTAGTAGGGCACCGACTCGTCAAAAGTGACGTCCTGAGAGGGCAGGACACGGCGCGAGGTGGCGTGGTAAAACTGCCAACCAGACGCGTCCGGGACAAAGCCAAGGAAGACACAAGGAACAGCGCGGGAGGAGAGCTTGTCCGCGGACGTATCGCGGACAAAAGCCCGAGATCCCCAGACCCAGAAACGCGACGCATCGCCAACCTCCCCCGTCCACGGCAGTGTGGGCGAGGTCTCCGGCAAGGAGACACGGGGCCAGAGGTTGAGCTGATGCTCAGCGTACCGGACCGCAAACGGCCACAGAAAGTGGGGGGCAGTCGCATGGATCAAGGAGGTACGAGCGACCTCCATGACCAAGCCAATGCGGCGCTCAGCAACCCCATTCTGCTGTGGAGAGGCCGGAAGCGTGAACGAGTGGCGGATGCCGTGCTCCGCACAGTAGGCTGCCGAGAGGTCGGAGGAGAACTCACCACCTCTGTCAGAGTGCAGACGCAAGACAGGAAAGTCCGAGTGGAACCTCTCGCTGAGCTGGAGACGAGAAGCGCGGATCCAAGGGATCAAAACATCAGGGACCTCACCCTTGGTGCGCAAGGGGAAGACCGTGGTGTAGCGCGAGTAGTCGTCAACAACGATCAGGAAGTACCTCTCCTGACCCTGTCCACGGACGCGGGCTGGGCCCCACACGTCCATGTGGAGCGTCTGCAAGGGAGCAGTCGTCGGGGGAAACGAGGAGGAGTGAGGAGCGGCGCGCTGCCGCCCCTCGACACAAGGAAGACAGGGAGGAGCAGGCAAGGGTGGGAGGGGAGGGAGTACCCGGGGAAGACCAGAGACAAGGTACCGTTTGTGCATGGCACGAAGGCGCTGCACTGACGGGTGACCAAGGCGGTGGTGCCAGAGGACGGTCTTGTGTGCTAGAGAGCGACACGAGGAGGGGGCAGACAGCTGACCTGAAGCAGACGCAGACGCAGCTACCTGAGGGGACTCAGTGGTCAGTGTGTACAGGTCCGACCCCGGCTGCCGAGTGAAGGTAGCCAGGTGACGGCCCGTCCGAGCACACGTGCAGTGTGTCACGCGCTCGTAGGCAGGGGTGAACTGGTGAACACCCCCGTCCTGGAGCGCACTACCCGCCACCAAGTTCGTAGAGAACGAGGGGAGGTAGAGACCTGACAGTGTGCCCGACGGGACCGCAGGACAAGGGAGAACAGTAGAGGAGGTCGCAATGACCGGACCCCCAGAGGGGTCAGCGAGGGAGACTGCAACCGGCCGAGCAAGCTGCTCAAGGGCAGTGCGGTCACGAAAGAAACAGCGGGAAGCGCCTGAGTCCAGTGTGAAGGTGTGCAGTGCCTCAGTAGACGCAGTACCAGAGGGTGCAGACTCACGAGTACCTAGAGCAGCAGCCTCACCAGCACCTGGGGCACCAGACACACCAGCACCTAGTGCAGCAGCCTCACCAGTACCTAGAGCAGCAGACTGGATACCGGGGTCAGGCGGCACACACAGGTGACAGGCACTCTCAGCACTAGTAGACAATGCATACATGGCAGTGAGGATAGCATCATAGTCAAGAGCATAGATATCTGCCCTCTGCCTAAGCAGCTCCACCCAGTCGGGGAGCTCAGCGTCGTCGCCAAACTCTGTACGCCAAGCATCGCCCAGACGGGCGAAGCAGTGGGACTCTGTGTGACTACGTGTCCCGCAAGGCTGACCAGTCCGGACACCTGTGCGAATGACGTACGGGCAGCGAGCAGTACTCAGTGACCCTCTACTCTGAGCGTACCACTCACGAAGCTGCTGGGGCGAAAGAGCCTCGCGTAGACGACGCGGCTGCTGCACCGGGCCACTACAAGAAACTCCCGAACTACCCACTCCAGGACGACTCCCACTACTGCCACCCCGACAACCCCAACTGGCGTACCACTCACGAAGCTGCTGGGGCGTGAGGGGCACACGCGGACGGCCCTGGAGCTGCATCTGGCCACGCCAGGAGCAGCAGTAGAAGCAGTAGCAGCAGCAGTAACAGCAGTAGCAGTACGGGCAGGGCAGTGCTCACCAGTGGTGGGAAGGGCAGGCGTACGAGCGAGGCGACTGCGGGGCCGTCACAGCGGCCGCTCCAGGGGCGGCTACTCCAGGGGCGGCTGCTCCAGGGGCCAGGGGCGGCTCCTGCAGTGGCAGCTGCTCCAGGGGCGGCTGCTCCCGTGGCCAGGGGCGGCTGCTGCAGGGGCGGCTGCTCCAGGGGCGAGGGGCGGCTCCTGCAGTGGTGGCTGCTCCAGTGGCCAGGGGCGGCTGCTGCAGGGGCGGCTGCTCCCGTGGCCAGGGGCGGCTGCTGCAGGGGCGGCTGCTCCAGGGGCCAGGGGCGGCTGCTCCAGAGGCCAGGCGCGGGTTAGGTCAGGGGGACTCAGCGGGCAGGGGCGACGCGCAGGCAGGGGCAACGCGGCGGGCAGGGCGACGCGGGGGGCAGGGGCGACGCCGTGGGCAGGGCGACGCGGCGGACAGGTGGCGACGCCGCGGGCAGGGTGACGCGGCGAGCAGGGGCGACGCCGCGGGCAGGGGCGACGCGGCGGGCAGAGCGACGCGGCGGGCAGGGGCGACGCCGCGGGCAGGGCGACGCGGCGGGCAGACGGCGACGCCGCGGGGAGGTGGTACACGGCGGGCAGGGCGACGCGGCGGGCAGGGGCGACGCCGCGGGCAGGGCAACGCGGCGGGCAGGTGACGACGCCGCGGGCAGGTGGTGACGCCGCGGACAGGTGGCGACGCCGCGGGCAGGGTGACGCGGCGGGCAGGTGGCGACGTCGCAGGCAGGTGGCGACGCCGCGGACAGGTGGCGACGCCGCGGGCAGGCGGCGACGCCGCGGGCAGGGCGACGTGGCGGGCGGCGAGAGCCTGCAGGGGCGGCGCGCGGTCGGGCAGAAGGGCGGGGCGCGCGAGGGCGCACTAGCAGAAAAAGGCGCACGAGGGCGCACGAGGGCGCACGAGCAGAGAAAGGCGCACGAGGGCGCACGTAAGGTAGGGCGCACGAGGGCGCTTCTAGCGGAATAGTGGGCCCGTAGGAGAAAGCGGTCCTAGGTAGCAACCTAGGCTCGTGATACCATGTTAGAATGAACAAGTGTGTATGAACTAACAAGATTGGGAGTACAAGTAGGAAACCCTAGAATGTTGTACCCCCTAAGGCTAAACCCACTATAGCCTACACAATGTAAACATATAATGTTTGACACGGAAAGCTGTCTTGGGGCAGTCGGGTGGGTTGACGCGAATCTGGTGGTAACCTCCTCTAAGGTCGATTTTCGAGAAAACCCGAGCTGTGCGCAGTTGGTCGATCAGTTCGTCGGCTCGCGGGACGGGGTAACGGGATTTGATGGTAACCCTGTTCAGTGCCCTGTAATCTATGCACATGCGAAAACCCCCGTCCTTCTTCGGCGTGAATAGTATCGGTGCTGCGAAGGGTGACGAACTCGGGCGAATGAATTCTTTTTCGAGTAGGTAATCCACCTGCTTCCTCAGTTCGTCCAGTTCGGGTTGGGTCAGTTGGAATTGTCGCTGTACCGTCGGCTGTGCCCCCGGTTCTAACTCTATCCTGTGGTCTTGCGGTCGCTGAGGTGGCAGTTTCGTCGGCAGATCGTCCGGAAAAATGTCACTTTACTGTTTCAGGAGTGCTGCCAGGTCACCCTGTACGTTGGCTAGCAGTTTCTGTAAATCCCCCCCTTTGTCTGCTGCCTCGGCTTCCCGAATGTCGACCGCGTACACGTCAGCTCCTGCCGCTACGGCGCGTTTCATCGTGATCGCGTTGACACGCACCGACGAAGACTCAGGCGAGCCCCTGCGAGGTAAGGCGATGTTGTTACCGTTCACTCGCACGGTGCAGTCACCCGTCGTCTAGTCGATTCGCGGATTGTGTCGTCGCAGCCAATCACGACCGAGTAAAATGTCGGTTCCGTCGAGGGTTGTTGCGAGCATTTCCTGGCTAAACGTGAAGTTACCACCGCATCGAATCCGAACCCGGTCTACGCGTTCCCGTATCGCCAGTGGCGTGCCGTCAACCAGTCTTGCATCGATCTCAGGTAAGCATCTGTCCAGTGGCAGTTTCAGTTTCCGTGCTGTGGCGGTGTTGATGAGGCTGTGGCTGGCTCCCCCGTCTACGAATATTTTAAATAAGTCTGTCCCGGTTTTCCCACTAAGCAGTACGGGGCTGTCTACCGTAGTACCCTCCTTATTCGGCCGGGTGTGGTCGATTGCGTGAACCGGCACAATCACTCGGTGAGGGTCGGTTGGGTCGGGCGAGCGGCGTGACCTGTCAGTAGAGGGCCCGTCTGCTACTGACTCCCAGCGTTTCCCTGCTGCTTGGTCTGTTTCTACTGCTCAGCTTCCCCCTTTCCCTTAGCGTCTTCCGGGCATTTGCTCTTACGGTGTCCCGGCCGATTGCACGCGAAGCAGCGCCCTTTGAACGGTGCGGCAGCGGCATTTGCGGCGACGGCACGTATCGTAGCGCCCTCGTTCGTCCCACGAGACCAATGTCCCCAGTTGTTGCCTCCGTACGACCCCGGTCTTGGTCGGCGGAAGAAATCGAGTTTCTCCGCCATGGCGAGAATCTCCTGGAAATCGGTAACGCCGCGAAGCTGGATTTCCTGAGCGATGTCATGCTTCAGGCCGCCGATGTAGCGGTCGATGCGTTCGCTCTCGTGCATGTAACCTACTTGCTCGCATAGCGCCAGAGACCCGCTCGTGTAGTCCTGGACGGAACCGAGTTGGCGCCAAGTGCGGAGCTTCTGTCGCGCCGCGATCGAAGCCGCAATTGGCTCAAACCGAGCGCGCAGACCTGCGTACCACACGTCCCACGTGCGATATTGGGGCACCTCCACGAAATACGACGGCGCCCAGGGTCCGGTTTGTCCTTCCCGTGTCGGTAGAGTCGCGTAGTCCACCGGCTTCGTGACGATGACACGCCACCAGTCCATGGCGGGTCCTCGCAGCAGCGACACGGCGTAGCGGATTTTCGCCGTATCCTCCGAGACGTAGTTGGCGTCGAAGAAAGCGTTCAACGGGAACAACCACGCCTGAACGGTAGGACCACCCCGTTGACTCGGGTCAAAACATGGCGGACGCTGCGACTTCAGCGGCATCGGCGACGGCAGTGTGGATTCGCCAGCCGGCACAGAAATCGTGACTCGAGGCTGACTCCTGGCCGCATTCGTCGCGTCGGGGTGTGTCGTCCCGTGGTCGTCGTCTCCGTCATGGCGGACGACGCCATCACTGTCCGCGCTCGCGGGTTGCCCAACGCTCCCATGTTGCGATGTCTGTGGTGCGGGCTGTACCGGAGTGCCATGTGCTTGGGATTGTGCTTGTTGTGCTCGTGCGACGTCATTCTGCAGGGATATACGTTTTGCCGTCAGCGCTGCGATTTCTTCAGAGCTTTCGCGAAGTTGCTGCAGCAGTTCGTTCAAGCGCTCCTGCGTGAGAGTGGTGACGTCGATGTGCTCGGCCATTGCGAAGGGCGTCGGCTCAGCTTAGTCTAGGCGCAGTCGTGGCTGCACGCGTTTACGAGAGAACGCGAGGACAGCGGCTCCTAGGGGCTAAGGTGCGTGAGTCCCTTCGAGTGAAAAATCAAAAGTTGATTTCCTGGGGTGCGGAGATGCGCGGTCCGAAAGAAAAGAGGCTCTGAATACCAAGTGTTACAGTTGCAATGGATCGAGGTAGCGAGGATTGCACTAAGGTGTCAAACGAGTACCAAATGTGAGCGAAGGCATGAGCGAACATTTATACGCGAAACATGCAAACGGTAACGCGGTGCGTGCGAGCTAGCAAGTGCTACGCTGGCAGCGAGGTTCGGGCTAGTCCCGAAGCGCAGGCCGACACGGCCGGGCCAGCAGTGCGAGGTTTGGTGAAACAGTGCGCGCGAAGTCGGCGAAGCCCCGTTAGCAGTAACGGGCGAACAAAGGCTGCTGCTGTACGCGATGTTGCAGGGCGCGCTAAGGAATGTCGAGAAAATTCCTTACATCTAGTTAGTAATAGCATCATTATTCAGCGCACTTGTTTTATAAATCATAACATTACAGGAACGGTGGCCAGTAGCATTAAAATGTGCGACTTCAACAATGCACTTGTCAACCAATTGACCATCGACCGAGATTGGTGACGACGCAGTTGCGATACTGTACAGCTTTTGAAATCGCAATCCCTCCCCAAACAACTTCAGGGATGTGCAACAGCTCAACTTGTTCCGAATTTGAGTTCAACTAGACGGGCCGTCAGGCCCCTCCGTTACTGTAAAATACAGTCCAGTCATCTGCTGCCGCAATTGCTGCTCCAATCCAAACCACGCAGGTTGGCCTTCAATGTGAGACAGGTCAGGAGGACTCTGGAGGATTCATGTCATGAGCCCGCCGCACCCTTTGGCTCCTCATACAGCCAGGTATGCTGAGTACACCCAAAGCCTTCTATACGGATCCTTTTTCTGGATGTTCTGTATGATTTGGAGCGTTGTCACAGCTGGTTTTAAATTTCATGGGTTGGGTGTGAGACATGGTTGATGCTATTTTTTTCGGGCGTGTTAAATGTATGAGCCTGTACGTCTGCAGCTTCCGAATGTCTTTACTGCGTAATTATATAGAATGTGCGACTTTAAAAAGAGTTGCCGAGCCTCATAAATGCAAGACTTTAGCAATGTGGTCCGAGTCGGTAAAACGTGATGTTGCACTTCTCGTGTAGGCTACCGACGGAAGTTCAAGGGGGTTGATGTACAGTGCAGAAGGCATTTCGAAAGATTTGGAATCAAAGCCGTACATAACGAGGAGGTCTCCCCAACAGATGTTTTGTACTGAAGTTTATTCCCGCGGGCAGACGAAATACCCTATTGAGGGTATGACTAACTTTCGAGTCCCCGGTTCTCCCCAACATGCTTTCATTCGTCCAAGTCTCTTATACGGTCTCAAAGTTGCGCACACAGTTCGAGATCCTGGTATAACGGGTACAGTAATTTGAACTGGAAGTTTGACCAAGCGCGGATTGGCCACCCGCTTGTCTCTGGTAGATTTTTTACAGTAGTAGTTCCACCAACCCACCCTACACCCCCCCTCTTCCTCCCGCCTCCTCGCACCCACTCCACCACTTTCAGAAAACAATCAGTCTAGTTGTTCTTCGCATCTGCCCGTGACTTGATGCTGCCCGCAAACGGCTACTTTACCACGTGCGTATGGGCGGGCCAGAGCATTGCCGTACTACAGTACTGTGTCCAACCTAGATCCGAATGGAAATTGTTAAACTGCATGTTTTTGCCGTGCCGACCAATTGCAGCAAAGTGTCAGCTCAGCACAGCAGCGCATCCACCGTCGCAGATGATTAACTTCAGGTGTGCTAGGACGATGAACCCAAGAAAGTGTGATTACTGGAAACAAGTTTCCCTTGATGTCCTTCTTCCGAGTTCACTTTCCGGCCCAAAGAGCTATCTGCTCATGATTGTTGCTGGTTTGTGGCACATGATCCGTTTCTGGAAGGAAGAACTGGGTTTGTTGTGACTTTGTTGCTGTTAGTGTTCTGCTTGTGCATCCCTTTGTATAAGCTTTCACTTAAGAAATATACAATGATTAAATGTTCACTCTGATTCGGTTTCAACTCAGGTCTCATTTCGAAACGTGCTCGGGCTGATGCAATTTCAACAGCGGTGTCTCAAGATTTTTGGAGCAACGACAGACGCAACAGCTTGAGGCGAAGGCGCCATTGGGCTGGCTAGCCGGATTCCTAACGTTTGTGCGGCTCCTGCCCTCTTCAATAACGACGCAAGCACACATTGTGCAGCAACTCGCTCTGACGTGCTTCACCATCTCTTCAGCAAGAGGATAATTTTGTCGTTTTCTCGGCCGATGTCCCCCTCAAAGCCAGCCATCATGTCCACTTACTAACTTCGTATTGTACGGAAGGTGGTCCCACTTGCAGATGTGTATGTTTCGTCACGACGAGCAGTCCCCATGGGATGATTGTACAACTCGTGGTCTTCGATTTCTGCAGCTGGGTGCTCAATTCCAGGGTAATGTGCCCAACTAGTCTGCACAAGATGTATTTGAAGCTTCTCCATCAGTGATTATGGGATGCCATGCCATTTTTCGTCAACATTTATTTACCGAAGAGCATAATTAAGAGGCAACGTTTACGCAAAGATGGATTTCCAGATTTTTATCGTTGTGGCTGAAAATGCGTTTTACGAATTTCTGTGACCCCTGAATGAAATATACAGAATGTGGATTCGTAAGATGCTCGTAACACTTTTTTTAACGTTTGGTCTTTACAGATATATAATTCAATACTCTACTCAGTTGGAATCGCACTGTTTGTGGCTCTAACAACAACGACAGGGTTACTAGCCCAGGAGGAGCAAACAGTTTTCGATTGACCAGTTTCCAGTCCAGAGCCCTCCATTCGCGCACACTATGGCGCGAAATCTCCGCACAGCAGCATGCAAGCCTTGTGCGGCATCTGCAGCGGCCTTCCGTTGAGTGGACCTGTCGGCCCTCGACGTCCAGATGGAGGGTCCACGTTGGAGCTGGGTAGGCCAGGCTACCCAATACTTTGCGTAACCACAATTCAAAGCAGGGACACCAGACACCATCTCTCAACACAGCTTGCAGTAGTACTAGTATAGTCCTGTCGAAGACGCCTCTCTTGCTCGCATTGACGCAACCCCCTCCGCTGGGTCCGTCTGCCACCAACCAGCCACAGAACCAGGAAACATCCTCCAGGCGCTCATGCTGTCCGACGTCCCCTGTTCTTTCAATTACCTGTAACAGAAGTTAGCCGTTTCAACGTCACACACAGATCCGATCTGTGGGAACTCGCCGAATCGCATGCAAAGAATCGCCGTATTCCACTCAAAATTAACCCGAAGATTTTTCCACGGAGAAGTAGTAGGCCTAGAAGTTGCTATCATATTCCGACAAACCTAGTACTGTCGTAGAAAGTCGAACAGAGAAAACCCTGGATTTTTCCGCCTGATTCTAGAGAAACACGGCAGTGCGTCAGAGTGGCACGAACGTAGCGATGATGCATCGAGAGTGGTCGGCGTGATGACTGCAGCACAAAACATCCCATTCATGGATCAACACGACTATTCTGTTCGCGGCAGCGCGTCATCGCAGCGAGTCGACGAGGCAGCGAGCGAGGCCGCCGCGTCGATCGCCATGCGTCACTTGCCCGCCGATCCCGCCACCATCTTACGTGGCGTTCCCTTTGTAACCGCCGGCGAGCAGCGATTGCTTCCTTCACTCGAAATCGCCAGAAGCCAACTAGAAACGTCGGGCGGCGACTTAAATTTCCCCCCAAATCGTTGGAATTTGCCGGTGGGGGCGAGCGCTGGAGTGGTAGTTCCGTTCGGCGCGGAGAATACCAGCACTGGTAGAGTCGTGCCAGCAGCCGCACACCCTCATTTGAATCCCCCCCGTAATGAAGAACGCTCTTCAGTGTACCGTGATCTCCCTGGAAGCGCAGCTGAGCTCTCGCTTCACGCCGCTCTCCCCTTGTCCCTCGCAGCTGCAACAACTGCCGTGGGCGTCGGCTCGCCGCTGCAGCTAGCGCCGCAAGTGACCTCTCGAGGCGCTCCTCCGCCCCTGGTGCTAGCATGCGGGCAGGACGAACAGCAGCACCACAGCGCTGCTGGTGCACGGAGCTCGAGTCGCGAGCACGCACAAGAGGCGCCGTTGATAGGGTTCCCCTCGTCCCTCCTTCACGCCATGAAAGCTGGGGTGGCGCCCGGGCACAGTGAGAGCAGCCCAGCGGCAGGAGCGGCGATTGGTTCGAGGGGCGGACGCCAGGGAACGGCAGCAGGCAGGACGAGCGCAGCAAGCGTGCAGTGGGGCAGCGGCCTTGCTCTGTCTCAGCCTGCCCTGCCTCCGGCTCGTGAGATCAGGTTCTCTCTGCTGGGTGAACGGGAATCAGGAGAAGAGGATAGAGGAGCTGGTATGGGGAGCGGGGCAGCGGGAGAAGCTCGGGGAGGAGGAGGAGGAGAAGGTGGGGGGCAGAAGGAGGGGCTGAAAGGGCTCTTTGGCCTGGGACAGGCGGAGGCCCCTGGGGCGCAAGGCATGGCGGCGTTGGTAGCCTACCAACGCCGTGATGACCCCTGCAGCGGCGCCGCTGCACCACTGCACTCCGCCTTCCCTCAACCTTCTGCTGCTGCTGCTGCTCCTGCTGCTGCTCCTGCTTCTGCTGTTGCTGCTGGTGGTGGTGGTGCGACTGGTGCAGGTGATCTCAGGCGCACGCTGAGGGGGAGTGTGGGAAGCGAGGTGCAGCAGGAGGGCAGCAATTGCTTGGGAGGGGCGTTCCTGTCCCTTGGGTTCCCTGGCACCAGTGCCGTGAGCAGCAGTAGCAACGATGGGCTGCCCCGGATGCTCACTGCCAGTGAACAGGAGGCACAGGAGCAGGAGCGACAACAGGGGCTCCACCACGGGAAGTTGCTGCAACAGTGGCAGCAACAGCAGCAGCAAACACGGCAGCAGCAGCAGCAGCAGCAGCAGCAGCAGCAGCAGCAGCAGCAGCAGCAGCAGCAGCAGCAGCAGCAGCAGCAGCAGCAGCAGCAGCAGCAGCGGCAGCAGCAGCAGCAGCAGCAGCAGCAGCAGCAGCAGCAGCAGCAGCAGCAGCAGCAGCAGCAGTTGCTGGACCCAGGAGGTTTGCCACCGTGGAGGAACAGTGGAGTGGGGCAAGGCACGGGGGAGGAGAGACAAGGGTCAGTGGGAGGAGGCAGGGACAGTGCAAGGCGAGGCAATACTATGCACCAGGGTCCCCAGCACTTCCACGTGATGGCAAAACAGCAGGAGCCGCTGCTCCCCCCTGCTCTGCAACAAGGCCAGAGAGTGGACGAGGTTGGAGCGAGGGGTCTGTCAGAGCTGTTGCTGCGTGCACGAAGCAGCAGAGAAGTGTCTCCCACTGATGCTCGCACGCGCGTGGAGGTACGCACGTCCGTCTCCAGAGCGGAGGGGTTACGGGTTGGCCCGCGTGAGGATGTGTGGCTGGGGTTGGGGGCGGGGCTGGCGCTGCTAGGGGGTGTGGGCGCCAAGGGGGGAGTGGGGGAAGGGAGGGTGGCGGTGGGGGGAGCTGTGGACTCAAGTGCTGGGATAGCGATCCGTGGGGCTGGGCGGCCCAGCCCAGGCGAGCTTGCTGCTGCGGCCCTTGCTGCTGGCGCTGTGGGCTCAAGGTATGGGGAGGGCGGAGAGGTGGGGCAGGAGAGGCACGAGGAGGGCAGGGGCGTGGGGAGTGGGCGAGGAGGTGGCAGGATATGGAGTGGGGGGGAGCGGGAGGGCAGTGTGAGTGGGGGGAGCAGTGGGGTGACTGGGAGGGAGGACACGGGGGGGAGTGGGCAGGGAGAAGCAGGGGGATGGGGCAAAGTGGATAGCGGCAAAGCAGGCAGGGCGAGCAGCGGAGGGGCGAGCGCGGGGCCTGGGAGATCCACAGGGGGAGCAGCAGATGGGGGCTCGGTGGGGGGAGGGAGCATCGTGCGGGGCGGAGGTGGCAACAGCGACCCGTTCATCTGCCAGGTGAGATGCACGCCCTTGCCGTGCGGGCAGGGGAGAGTGGGGGTTGAGAGGTGTATGTGGAGTGAAGCAGGATGGTATTATGGGCAGGTGGTGCACGCCTAGAACAAGTGTGAGGCATACTTGCGGGCGGCAGGTGAGGGCATGAGATGAGGAGCACCAGTGTGCTCTCCCTTTTGGTACTGTGACAACGGTGCAGCGCGGTTGAGAGGATGGCACCTGCACGTGCCTCGCTGCGGTCGCCTGCTGCTGGCTGCACGTGCAGGCAGGAGGGGGGGGAATGGGGACGGGGATGGGGAAGAGGAAGGGGAGGGGGATGGGGAGGGGGAAGGGGAAGGGGAGGGGGAGGGGGAGGGGGATGGGGGAAGGGTAGGGGGGAGGGGAAGGGGAGGGGAAAGGAGAGGCGGATGGGGAGGGAGAGGGGGAATGGGAATGGAAGGAAGGGGAGGTGAAAGGGGAGGGGGACGGGGAGGGGGAAGGGGAGGGGGATTGGGAAAGGGTATGGTATGGGGAGAGGGAGGTGGAGGGGAGGGGGAAGGGGAAGGTGAGGAGGAGGGGGAAGGAGAGGGGGAGGGGGAGGGGGAGTTGGAAGGGGTAGGGGGAGGTGGATTGGGAGGTGGAGGGGACAGGGAGGGGGAGGGGAGTGGGGATGGGAGGGGAAAGGGGAGGGGCATGGGGACGGGGGAGGGGGTGGGGGAGGGGGGAGGGAGGGGGATGGGGAGGAGGAGGTGGAGGGGAGGGGGAAGGGGAGGGGGAAGGGGAGGGGTAAGGGGAGGGGAAAAGGGAGGGGAAAGGGGAGGGGAAAGGGGAGGGGAAAGGGGAGGGGAAAGGGGAGGGGAAAGGGGAGGAAAGGGGAGGGGGATGGGGAAAGTTAGGGGGAGGGGGAGGGGAAGTGGGAAGGGAAGGGGAGGGAGGGAGAAGGTGAGAGGGAGGGGGAGTGGGAAGGGGGAGGGGAGAGGGAGGGGGAGGGGTAGGAGGAGGGGGAGGGGGACAGAGAGGGGGGAGGGGGAGGGGGAGGGGGAGGGGGAGGGGGATGGGGAGGGGAGGGGGAAGGGGAGGGGGATGGGGAGGGGAGGGGGAGGGGGAGGGGAAGGGGAAAGGGGTAGGTGAGGGGGCGGGGAGGGGGAGGTGAGGGGGAGGGGAAGGGGAGGGGAAGGTGGAGGTGTAGTGGGCATGGGAGGGGAATGGGGAATTAATTGGAGTGGGAGGTGGAAGGGGAATGGGATGGGGAAGGTAGGGGGAAGGGAAAGGGAAAGGGGAAAGGGAGGAGGACAGGGGAGGGGGATTGGTAGGGGGAAGGGGATGGGGAATGGAAGGGGGATGGGAAGGGAGATGGGGAGGGGGATGGGAAGATAGAATGGGAGGGGGATGGGGAAGGGGAAGGAGATGCGGAAGTGGAGGAGGTGGGGGAGGGTTAGAGAGAGGGGGAGGGGAGAGGTTGGGTGAAGAAGAGGATGGGGAAGGAGATGGCGAAGGGGATGGAGACGGGCAAGGGAGACTGGCTGGGGAGTGGAGGGAGAGGGGGATGTGGAGAAGGGGGGGGGGAGGGGGAGCGGCAGAGGCAGTGGTAGCAAGAGGGGAAGTGCCAAGGAGAGGGGAAGGAAGAGGGCGATGAGGGGGGGGGATGGGGATGCGGCAGGGGAATGGGGAGGGGGAGGGGGAGTGACAGGGGGAGGGGTAGGGGGAGGCGGAGGGATGGGGATGCGGCAGGGGAAGGGGGAGGGGGAGAGGGAGTGGCAGGGGGAGGGGAAGGGGGGTGGGTGGGGGGTAGAGGGATTGAAAGGGGAAAGGAAGGAAGTGGGGAAGGAGAAAAGGATGGGGAACATGAAGGGCGATGTGGGGGGAGGGGGGAGAGTGTGGGCGGGTGGAGGGGAGGAGATAGGGACTAGGAGGGAGAGTGGGAGGTTTGGGGTTCAGGGGAGGGAAGGGGAGAAGGGGGGTGGGGAGTGGCAGAGAGAGAGGGAGGTTTAGGGGTTAGGGTTAGGGGGGTGGGAATGGGGAGGGTGGGGGGTTGGGGTTGGGAAAGGGGAAAGTCATGTGGTGGATGGAGGGAGGGGCTGGTTGGGGATTGCTGGTGAGCTGGTGCTGAGAGGGAAGAGGTCAGACACAGTAGCCAGCAGACAGCTGGGGCTGCGGATGAGTGTTGCCTCGCAGCCCTCCCACTCCCTCCTCCCCGCCTCTCTCTCTCTCTCTCTCTCTCTCTCTCTCTCTCTCTCTCTCTCTCTCTCTCTCTCTCTCCCTTAAAACTCCCACCCCTAAACCCGCTCCGCCCCACTCTCTCCCTTCTTCTCCTCTCACCGCATCTGCCAGGTGGACAGTTGTGACGTGGAGCTGACGTCACACAAGGACTACTACAGGCGGCACCGCGTGTGTGAGGCACACGCCAAGGCCACGCACGTGCACATCCAGGGCAAGGCGCAGCGCTTCTGCCAGCAGTGCAGCCGGTATGAGCTGCCTCGCATGCGTGGATGTGCATGCTGTTGCTGCATGCATGTGTCCTGCACGCTTCCTCCTTCGCGTCTCCTCCTTCGCTCCTGCATTGCTCCTTCTTTTCTGTCCCACTTCGTTGTTTATGTGTTCTCACTGCTTTCCCACTCGCCTCACGGCCACCACCTGACATGGTGTAGGAGTGATGTGGTCCTCTAGTGAAGCCCTCACTTCGTCCTGTTATCCAGGCGAATCCCTCGCTACCCTTCTTCACCCTCCCTCACTTCCCTCCCCACCCTGCCTGCCCTGCGCTGCCCCCGCTGGCAGCTTCCACGACCTGTGTGAGTTTGACGACAGCCGTCGCAGCTGCCGCAGGCGCCTGCTAGGTCACAACCGCAGGCGCCGCAAGCAGCAGAACCAGCCGCTGCTGCAAGGCACCCCGCCGCCCCAGCAGCCCCTGGCACAGCCGCTGTCGCAGCAGCAGCAGCAGCAAACGAGCAGCTCTTCTAACCCGTTCTTTCCAAGAACTCGAAACACGGTGGAAGGAAAGGAAGTGGCAGCTGGGGACAGCAGCAGCAGTGGCACCACATATCCCCTCACTTGCTCAAGGTGTCTCTCTTCCCGCCACACCTACTGCTGCCACTGCCACTGCGAATGCGGCTGCGACTGAACGCTCCTTGGGGCCAACAGCCCGCGAGCCCGTTCCCAAACCCCCGTTTGCCTCCCTCGCCCCTCTCTCCTCTGCTGCAGCCGTCCAGGCAGGGTCAAGTGGGGGAGGTGGTGACCCCCTGTGCGGTAGGCCCGTGCGACAGTTCTCAGCAATGAGTGCATGCGGCGAGGCCGGTGAGAACGACAGTCTGCGCGCTGCTGGTGTGACGACCACTGAGGGGCCTGGCCGGGTGGACAGGTCTGAGGCACGCAGAGGAAGTGGAGGAGAGGTGGGAGGAGATAGGGGAGGAGAGGGGAGGGGTGAGGGAGGAGAGGGGGGAGGAGAGGGGGGAGGCGAAGGAGGTGGAGGAGGAGGAGGGAGAGAAAGGAGGGGAGGAGGAGGAGAAAGAGGCATGTTAGTTGAAAGTCAAGGGCATTCACGTGCATGGGACATAGTGGAAGGGAAGTCGAGCAGAGCGAATGAGGTCGGGGAGATAGGGTTGGGGGGAGGAGAGCGAAGGAGAGGAAGAGGGGAAGCAGATACAGGGGGAAGAGAGGCGAATATGCAGCAAGAGCAGTGGTTGGAGGATCAGGCATCTGCTGCCAAGCGACCTAAGACCCAGCCTGGGGTGGGTGAGGCGGCAGCAGGGGGTGGGCAAGGGGAAAGCAGCGGGGCGAATAGGGGCGAGGAGGAGAGAGAGGCGCATGTGGTGGGGCGAGGCGATGTGCCCTTGGGGTAGAGTTTGGGGAAGAGAGGAGGTAGTGAGCCTGGAGGGGTGGCGGAGCAGGTTTAGAGATTTGCTGATGGAGGTTTGGAGTAGGCCAGTAGGGTTTGCGTGGTGGTGCTGCAGTATAGCAGGTTGAGACGCTGACTAGGAGGCAATGGGTGTTGAGGTAATGGGGTAGTGGGGTGGGGCGCGATCCTGTGAGAATGGCCGAGTGGATGTGAGACGCCCTGCTGTGACGCATGGTGGTGCAGAGGGGAGCAACGCGTGTAGGGAGTGGAGCCTGGAGCTGATCGCCAGGCGGTGGGGAAGCGAGGGGAGAAGATGGAGGTAGATGGTACGAGGGAAGATGGAGGGACTGCAGAGATTGGGCAAGGGGGGAGGAGGACTATCCGTGGATTTGCAGGTTCCAATCAAGGAAGGGCAATAGGAAGGGAAGAGTGGCAGAAAGGGGGAAAGGGGCAGTGTACCTTTTGAATGGCCGAGCAAGCATCAAGAGCAGTAAAGGGGGGCCAGAGGAGCAGGTGTGGGTGCAGCATCATGGCGTGGAGGGTGTGTAGGGTGGGTGCGCCATGTATTTACTCGCTGTGCTCCAATCAATGAGGCAGTAGGGTTAGGAGCAAGTGTGGAAGGGGGCGTAGAAGGAGGTGGGCAAATTAGTGATCGTCTGTTCATCACTCGTAACTGAGAAAATCAGTAGTGAGCAGGGTTCGGAATCAAAGTGTTATTTTGTCTCACATGAGGCTTTTCACTGTGTCAGTGTATGGGGTTAATGCACAAATAAGTAAGCCAGACACACAACAGAGATACCGTAGGGTGTATGTATACCAAGCCAACACCAAGCTTCAAACCTAAATCCCTCTCCTCCTTCCCATCCCCCAGTTCCTCCCTCTCCCCCTCCCCATCCCCCTCTCCCCCTCCCCCGCCCCCCTTCTCCCCCTCCCCATCCCCCTCTCCCCCTCCCCGCCCCCTTCTCCCCCTCCCCATCCCCCTTCGCCTCCCCCTGCCACTCCCTCTCCCCCTCCCCCTTCCCCTTCCCCTGCCGCATCCCCTACCCCTCCCCCTTCCGCTACCCCTCCCCTTGTCACTCCCCCTCCCCTTCCCCATTCCCCTGCTGCATCCCCATCCCTCCCCCTCTTCGCTCTCTTCCTGCCCGTCTCCTTGGCCCTCTCCCTTGCCCGTCCCCATACCACTCCCCATCTTCTTCTTCACCCACCCTCCCCACTCCCCCTCTCTCTAACCCTACCCGTGATGGGGTGCACGAAAGAATGCCCATCATCCTGACTATCATGCCCTCCCTTTCCGCTTTACGGCTCTACATACCAACCCTCTCTTCAATTCATCTTCACTCTCCCATCACCTGGCCCACGCTTCCGTTCCCTCCACAGTCCAAGCTACTCTTGGAACAAGGCTAGGCCACACTCTTCTTTGCTCGGCCAGACTCTTGCCTAAGCAGCTGCAGTAAGGGTACATTCCTGCCTTGACGTGGCTTCGTTTTAGGCATCACAAACGCTTGTCAAGGCAGGAATGTACCCTTGGAATAGGTGAGAACAAGCAAGAAGCAGACTCTGTCCCATGTCCCCTCATCCTGCTGGTCCCTATGGCTGCCTGTGTCACCTAGATCACGTGGCCTTCACTCGCAGAGATGGCTCGTGTTCTTCCCCTGGTGCAAGCTGGCTGCCTTCGGGCTAGCTGGATCACGTCATCCCACAGCCCTGCAACCCCACACCGCATCCATTGGGATATCGCCTACAACTCCATCAAGGCTCGGGTTTACCAGCCTCCTCGGTGGTTACATACCAACCTCACCCTCCAACTCAAAATAACCCGACCATACTATATTAAATGTTACAATACATGAATTTCTGAAAGCAAAGTCAACAAGCCAACAAACAAAAGGCGAAGTCATACAGCTCACTGGAGCCGATGTGCTGATCAGTCTCGTCTCCAACTTGAGCTGAATAGCGCTACAGTTGTCGTGAACCCTTCTCTCATTCTGACAATCATGCTTCTTCATCTTTGCCTTCTCTCTCCCATCATTTGGCCCACGCTTCCCACATTCCATCCACAGACCAAGGTACTCTGCCCCCTCCCTTGCCAAAGCCTTAGCCTTGGTGTTTCTGGTCAAGGTACCCGCACTCTTGGCCATTGCCACGTTGGTTACATGCTCCTTGAGTTCCCTGCCCATTTCATCCGCTTATACCAATGCTCCATAAAGGCTCACCTCCTTCATCTTCCACCTTTCTGTCTGAACTGACATGATTAACGTGTCCCCCTTAGCCTTGCAAAGATCCACCTCTTTTCCCGTGGCCACACGTGAGTTAGCCACCTCCGTATTCTCCTGTCATCGCTGCTGTTAGCAACTTGCAACCCGTGACTGTGCCACAGGCAGATACTCCAGGACTGTGGGCATGAGTTCCTTCAGGTGATCAGTTTGATGCTAGGCCCTCGCAGCCCGATTCTTGGCAGTACTGGCACTGACCGTGGCTGAATATTTGGGAGTATCCACGGGCAGAATCGGTTCTCTGCCGTACAACAAATGGTAAGCAAACACATCCTTAGGTTTTTTTCAGCAGTGACAAGTCTTTCTCATAACCTAGTCCTCCAAATCCAGCTCTCGCTTCGATTCTCTGTTAGTTGGGGCATAGGCAGGCTTCTGCCACCCCTATCAGTCTCCTCCCATCTATTTCGCAGAAGCCTTTCTATTGTGAGCACTTGTCATCCGCCTTGGTGTACAAGGCAGCATTCTTCCGTTTTCTCCCCTTCCATCGTGAGGATAAATCTAACGCTACTCAGCAAGGAGAGCGGCGCAAAGGCATGCTTAAAAACAACTCCTTGCATGCGAGCAAAGATCTGCATTGGCGCTATTCTTGGCTGAGTTCGTAAAGAATGGTAGTAATGAAGACATCATCAATGGCATTTTTTTTTATGCATTTCTTGGTTTGTTCCTTGATATTTCTGTAATGGTTTATGTTCAGACCCACCTCTACTCTTCAGCCATTTTTGGGATCAGTTGCTCTGGAGCCCACTACATGAAGGGTCTGATTCCAAGTTGTTGGCCAAGTCCAGAACGACTGATAGTAACGAAGACATCATCATGGAAGTTTCATCTGCATTACTTGAAGGTATTTGACAAATCACCAATGGTTAATGTTTGGACCCACCTTCTTCGCTGGGGCTATTCCATTTGTTGTGAGTTGAATGATGAGTCGATTCATAGCAACTTCTTGTTGCCATATACATGATTAACAGGTGCTTCCATGCACTATTTCGGGTTGTTCGGCATGTGGGAGGTTACAAATTAGTACGTTGTAGGCGAATGGGGACACATGGTATAACTATGCCCTTTTCTTGGGGTGTATCATAGGTTTTAAAAAGAAGAGTGTTTATTTCGTAGTACATCCAAATTTGCGCAGTTCGGGCAAGGAGCTCAAACTCGAAGCTCCAAGTGATATAAACATTTCCTTCGAAAAGTGTGGTTGTCCTCAACGACGTAGTTAAAATCTCGTTTTGAATAGAAGCTAATGCTTCGAAGTGTGTTCGTTGTTACTGATCTGGTGCTTCCGCTTGACAATTGACGTTCATAGTTTACCATTCAATTGTCTGGGGGTAAGGGAAGCTTTGCAATCTCTATCGCTTAGCCCAAGCCACCGATTCTAATAGGCTGCTGCTTTTCTGGAGTGCTGGGTACACGCTATTAGCTTCTCAACGACACTAACATCAAGGGATGTCATCGTTGATGGCATGTTGGGGAGCTTGGTGTCAAATTACAATTGTGTCTCTAGGCTACAGTAGGGTCACTCATTAGTGAGTACAACACTTTAGGGTTAGGTTTCCCCTACTTGTACTCATCTCTTGCCTAGTTCAACCATTCATTCCTAGTCTATTCTTGACATGTTATCAGCGTAGGAACCGTTCCTACATGGGCCCACCGTTCCGCCTAGTGGTAGCGCCACGCCCTACACAGTAGCCAGCGTGTTGGCGCCCCTCGCTCTCACTGTCGCGACCCTTCCTAAACGGCCCGCGCAGCCATACGCGTTTTTTTTTTTTTTTTTTTTTTTTTTTTTTTTTTTTTTTTTTTTCTCTCTCTCTCTCTCTCTCTCTCTCTCTCTCTCTCTCTCACAGTCGCGACCCCTCCTGACCGCGCCATAGCTGCCCCGTGCGCCACTCGCGCGGCCCGTCAGCCCCTGCGCCCGGTCCCCCCTCGTTCCTGCTGCTGCGCGCGCCACTCGCGCTGCCCGCCAGCCCCTAGCGCGCACCTACTGCGCGCCCCTTTTGAGCGGCCCCACGCGCACCTGTTGCACGCCCCTGGCTTGCAAGCCCACAGCCCGCGCGCGCCTTCTGCTGCTGCGCACCGGCTGCTGCTGCTACGTGCAGCTGCTGCTCCGCCATTGAGCCCGAGCCGCGCCGCCCATTTCGAGCCGCGCCGCCCTACCGAGCCGCGCCGCCCAGTCCGAGCCGCGCCGCCCTGTCCGAGCCGCGCCGCCCAGCCCGAGTTGTAACTGCTGCTGCTGCTGCAACTACTGCTGCTACAGCTAGTGCTACTGCTGCTGCTGCTGCTACTACTGCACTTGCTACAGCTGCTACTGCTGCCACTGCTACTGCTGCTATGGCTAACCTGTCAGTTCTTACGTTCGATGCTGAGGGCCGCGCGATTACCTTTGATGTCTGGCTCGACGATCTCCAGCTGTTCCTGCAGAGCGAGTCTAAGGATGGTATTTCCCTGTTTTTGCACACTGAGGGAAAGCTCCCAGCCCCTGCTGCCGACGCTGTAGAGGATCTGTCTAAGTGGCTCATGCGTGATGCAGCTGCCCGCCTTGCTGTCCGCAACCACTTGCCCGTCACTGAGCGCGCGCACTTTAGCCGGCAGAAAACGGCCAAGGATCTCTATGACGCTGTCGTTGCTCGCTACTCCTCCCCAGCTACTGCTGCTGTAGGCCGTCTCATGTTGCCGTACCTGCATCCCGATCTAGCTGAGTTCCGCACTGTCTCTGACCTCTTTACCTACCTCCGCT